TAATTACACTTCCAATTCCATATCATGCCTCCCCCGTCATTACCATCCCACCGTCGGCGCGTGCCGACTCCCGACCGGCAAGGGTACTGTGTTCGGCTCCAGCTGAGTTCCTGTTCTTTCTTCTCATTACGAACAATTCACTTGTGGGCTTATTAACCACTTGCTCCCCCCCTTCCCCTCCCCTCCCCAGCACACACACACACACACACACACACACACACCCCTCGCTCCCAGCATGCCGTGTAAAGGAGAAGAGTAGCTCCAAAATACTGTTAAGAGTAGATCCGCCTGCCCCATTTAATTCCCAACTGGGGGGCTCAGCGGTTCTTTTTTGCATTTGCATATTTTATATGGCACATCCAATGGCAGGAGGAGGAAGGAAGGAGCCGGCCTGTGGGGCAGATAGAGAATCTAGGGCACTTTTTGGGTGGGGAGGGGGGGGGTCTCATCACGGGGCAGGGGAATATTTTTCGGCAGAAAGAAGCTCGAATGACTTCTCTTATAACTGCAAACCGAAACAACAACAACAACAAGTCGACATATTCTAAGGACATTTATTCAGGGTGGCCTGTGCATCGCTTTGCTGAGGACAGTCCTCTGTTTGAAGGCATGAGAGCACACAAAAAAGCCTTGCAGGATTGGGCCGAAGGACCATCTAGTTCAACATCTGCACTAGCTCTGTAGTCTCTCTGTTGCCGGGCAACTGATCTCTAAGCTCATAGGCTGAGGTCTTCTCCATAACGGGCAGCTTCTCCATAAGAATGGGGGCCCCAACATGATGTCGCGGGACATCCCAAGGAACCAGGAGGTGGGACCGAACATCCTCTGAAAATTCAGGGGGGCTGGCCCCCTCAAAAAATATATTGGGGGACTGGAACTGCTTCAGCCCCCAGGAGTCAGCGCCTATGATCACTTGCAATTTCATTCTTTTAAATCAGGGTTGGTGAATCTCAGATCTGGATGTGGCCCTGCAGGCCTTGCTACCTGGCCTTTGGAACACCCCCTAGTCCACACCCGCTTATTAGCCCTGCTTCACACCTTCCTTGAGTGTATTTGTCTGCCGGGAATGTGCTTCTGTACTCTTGCTTGCCTGGTGGAGGATACAGAGGGGCATGTGAGAGTATGTCGGAACTAGCCTACTGCACAAAGGTAAATTTTGCATTCATTGCCCCACCCACTTTTGCCTCTGGCCCCGCCCATTATGGGCATGTGGCCTCCAGAAGCTTGCTTGGTAGGCAATCTGGCCCTCAGACTGAAAAAGGATTCCTTTCCTCTGCTTTAAGGGGAGATCCCAGGGATTGAACCTGTGGACTTTTGGAATGCCATCATTAATAGGAGGTCTTGTCCCCATGACACAGTTGCGAGGACTGAAGGTCCTTGCCTCCCCGCCCCTCTCTAAGGCTCCTCCACTCCCAGTTTTTCCCCACACAGTCTCTTATTGCACCTGTGTACAACTAATCTCTGTTCTGCTCTTTTCATTTCCCTGCATGTTCCTGGAGACCAGGGGGAGGGCAGCTGGTCACGGCAGGAGGGAGAGACTTCCTGGATTCATCAGCAGCCTCTTGACCCCTCTCCTCTCCAGTCTCTGCTTCAGCCTCAGAATCTGGACTGCTCTCTGCCGCAGACTCTCCCTGCTCACTAAACCCTGTTGCCCCTCCAGCTTCCGACACCTCTCTCCACCCTGTTTTCTCCCACTGACCGTTCACCACCATCCCACCACCAATCTCCTGGCTCTGAGCCTCCTTCTTCTGGGGGGTTCCCTAGGGGGTTTCCCAGCTGGTACCTCCTCCCACAGCTCCTCTGCACCCAGCCAGTCCATGACAGGCCGTCCCAACATGTCGCTGGTCCAACACATGTGACAGGCTACGCTCTGGACCTTGTTTTCTCAACTGGGCAAGAAGAGGGTGATCTGAAGTGGGGGAAACTGACATCAGTCTCTTGTTGAGGTCAGATCACTTCCTGTTGAGATTTAGGCTTTCAGCACCTTTCCTCCTTTGCAGGGGTAGGCAACCTGGAGTCCTCCAGATGTTGTTGGACTACAACTATCATCGTTTCTGGCCTTTGGCCATGCTGGCTGGAGCTGACGGGAGTTGCAGCCCAACAACATCTGGAGGGCACCAGGTTGCCTACCCTAGTTCTAATGTTTTGTTCCAAAACGGAGAGGCATGTCTTCTCGTTGAGCAGCTGAAAGCCCACCTCTTGGGATTTGATGGATGTTTGCAAAAGCGACTGAGCAGTGGGATGCTCAGGACCCCAACGTCCCGTGAGTCCCAAAATGAACGTTCTGCAAGCCTCTGTGACGAGCAGCTCCTACGGAATGATTGAGGGGTCTGACACACAGCAATTTTCTAGCACAGTTGTTCGAACGATTCCCAAATCCTCGCTGTTGTAATGCTGATAGGGTTGGGTTTGGGGTTTGTTTTTTTGAATAGGATTTTTGGAGCTATGTCTCCCCCCGCCATCCCTGTGACTTTGGTCACGCTCAGCTAGTCAAGAAGTTCATTCATATTGCAAGTCAAGACCTCCTTGCTTGCTCTATCTGCAAGCAACATTTCGGAATAGTGGGATGGTTGCTGTTTTTTTCCTTTTTAAAAAATGCCTTGAATAAAGTTGCAGGCAGTGGGTTGGTGGCTGAAACACGATGAAAAATTGTTTGCCAAACTCAATGCCCCGAAGATACTTGTACTGGACAACAATTACAACCCCTTAATTAACTTGAATTTCGGTTCTCCCGTCGACCGTGGCGTGTCCGGCACTAAAGTTATGCCACCGGTGATGTCTGGAACTGGTTAATGAATATAAATCAAATGGTTTATAGTTAGCAAACGTGTAATAGAGTTGCAATGAACAGAATTCCAATGTGAAATGCCTGAGGATAGGAACAGGCTATCCATAATACACACCCACACACACTTTTTAATTTCTACAAGCAAACGATGTGACGCCAAGGGAGATGTCTATATACAGGACAGCAGATGTTCCAGGAGATAGCAGGAGGTGAATCGCCAAACTGGACTAGCTGAGGGAAACTTGTTTGTTGGAGACCCTTGCAAAGGGAGCTGGTTGACTTCTCTCTCTCTCTCTCTCTCTCTCTCTCTCTCTCTCTCTGCCCCCTCCCTGACTTCCCAAGCAATTAAGCGCTGTCTTATTGGTTCAGTCACATGGCTGTTTTGCGTGCCGCTTGGGAGCACACCCTGAAGGAAGAAGGAAGCATTGAAGGTGACTTTTGGAGTCAGAAGTCATGTCAACGGGGGCATCCGGCAAGAACCAGAACTCAGAGGGGCCCCAGGCCAGTTTGAGCTAATGCAGGAGTGGGGGTCTCTCCAGATGTTGCTGGACTCCAGCTCCCCTTAACCCTGGCCCATTGGGCCAGGTGTGGGGAACCTTTGGCCCTCCAGATGTTTCTGGACTCTGATCCCATCAACCCTGACCCATTGGCCGTGCTTGCTGGGGCTAATGGGAGTTGTAGCTCAGCAACATCTGGGGGCTACAGCTTCCCCACCCCTGCATTGGGCCATGTTGGTTGGGGCTGGTGGGAGTCAGAGATGAACAACATCTGCAGGGCTATAGCTTCCTCAATCCTGAGCTAGAGATGATAGACTAGTAACCTGCATATATTTGACTACTTGGACTCATCACATTTGGTTAAAAGCCCAGCTAATGGAGCTTCCTTCTATCAAGTCATACCACTGGTTCATCTAGTTTCTTCTTGACTCTGACTAGCAGCAGGTATCTAGTAAAATGCGTGCCCTCAAGAAATTACCAGACTACAGCTCCCAGCACCCGTAGCTGTTGGCTGTGTTGGCTGAGGTCAACTTGAGTCGGAATCCAGTAACATCTGGAGGGCATCCCATTGGCTATCCCTGATGTAGGAAGTCTTTTCCTAACCTGATCCAGAGATCCTGGGGATAGAACCTGGGACCTTTTGCTTAGAAGGAATGTAGTCTACAACTAACCTTGTTGTCACCCAACGAGGGGTGAGTCACAATTCTGAAATGAGCTTTTACAAGGGATACCAAAGTTAGACCCACAGCTTAGGAACCCATCCTCTCCTTTTTGTAGTCCTAGCAAGAAACAAGAGGACTACCTCTCGGGGTCTGCCATGATTGGCTGCATACAGCTTAATTGGTCATCAAGTTGGCACAGTCCTGTCACTAGATCCCAGGTTCTTCAGGTCAAATTGATGGGGCAGGAGGTGGACAGACAGATGGAAGAACATGGAAAAAGCTGCCTTACACTGAAGCAGACTGGATTGGTCCATCTAGCTCAGGTCTGCCCACACTGACTGACAGCAGCTTCCCAGGACTCCAGGACTCCTTCCAAATCCAGGAAGTGAAATTGGTGGCCCAGGAATCTCCTTTTTCAACATGAAATGTTTCTAGATCTCATGACTGTGGAGATACGGATGGAAGCATATGGGAAGAGCTTCAGGAATCTTAGGAGGGCTGATGAGAATTCCCCATGATGGAGGGTGACATTCAGGGCCATTCATAGTGGAAGTGCCCAGGATTGGATTTGGGGGCAAGGAACTCAAGCGATGTTGTGGAATTCCGGGCCTGGGGAGGGGCACCTGACTCAGGGCATGCATGAACTCACGTCATGTCATGAATGATACTCGGTTATCAACTGGGGAAGGTGGAGAAGAGTCCAAGCTGTTCTCCTTCACCTGTAAAGCTGATTAGTGCGGCCACCACTGCATTAACGCCTGTTGCTGTGCCTTCCTCCTCCTATTCATGGGGAAATTTACAATATCAGCGCTCATTCAACAAACACAACATGTGTGAGTGATTGCAGGCGATTGCGATCAGACCCGTGCATGCAAAATTTATCATCGTACATGACAGGGATAAATGGCGCTCGCGGGTCGTGCATCAGAGTCATGAAATGGGCTCCCAGTGCAATATACAAATATATATGTATTCCAAAGAGGGGGGAAATGGAGGGGAGAGTCCCCTTCAAAAAATGCTCTCTCAGCTGGGCTGTCATTTGGTCCAGAGTCAGGGCTGTGACTCAGTGGGTACATCATCTGCTTCTCGTGCAGAAGATCCCAGGTTCAATCCCCGACAGCATCTCCAGGTAGGGCAGGGAATATGCCCTGCCGGAAACCCCGGAGAACTGCTGCCAGTCAGTGTAGACAGTACTGAGCTAGAGGGACCAGTGGTAGAAGGTGGCTTCCTATGACCTTCACATGCACCCTCTCTGTGACCAGTGGAAGCAGACTCAACGAAGTTCAAATTTGCATAATTCATGCAAGCTGCAAAATTCTGTCGAGGCTGGTGCAGAATTTTGAGATTGCAAGAGCAGTCATGCTTTGGGTGAGGCAACCATGCTGGACTAAATGGTCCTTTGGTCTAATCCAAAAGGGTCCTTTGGTTCTTAGGTTAGGAAGCTGCCCTACAGACCATTGGTCCATTTCGCTTAGTCCTGTCAATGCTGACTGGAAACAGTTCTCCAGGATTTTGGATAGGGGGGCTTTCTCAGCCATGCCTGAAAATGCCATAGATTGAACCTGCGACATTCTGCAGGCAAGGCAAGTGATCTAACCTAAGGTGGGCAAAGCACACGCGTCATGGAAGGTTAGTTTCATATATATCCCACTATTGTTGTTCTGAGCTCGGACCGACATGAAAGGATGGAGATTGCCCCCGGTTTATCCTCACAACAATCTTGCGAGGTAGGTCAGGCTGAGAGAGGATGAGTGTGGGTGACTGGCCCAAGGTCACCAAGTGAGTTTCATGGCTGAAATCCCAATGCTGTGTGGATATCTACTTTTCGGAACACGAAACAGTTTTCCCACCACTGATTCTTCTTCTCCACCCCCTTCACCATCCACAATTCCATTAGGTCAAATATTCCCAGGCAGCCCTTAATAATTAACCCACTTTATATTTCTCTGCCATCTTCTCCCTGCTCCTCCTTAACTTAAACAGAACAAGCAAGCCCTCTGCTGGTGCTCTGTTACTTTTAATTGAAAATAGGTAGTGGAGGATGTGGAGGCAAAGGGTCATCACTCAGGTGACACAATCCTGCCATCACATGTCCAGGTTACCGTATCTGGTTTTCTACAGCCAGGAAAGCTCAGAATGCTGAGTTCTGACTTGTGCCTGTATCCTTGGGTCATCTGTTAAGGAAGAGCCATGGCTCACTGGGCAAAGCATCTGCTTTGCATGCAGAAGGTCCCAGGTTCAATCCCTGGTATCTTTAGGTAAGGCTGGGAAAGAATTTTGCCTGAATTCCTGGAGAACCGCTGGCAGCCAGTGTCAACATTACTGGGCTAGATGTCCTGCCATTCAGGCTATATTATCTTTTGGCTTGTCCTTCATTTGCAATTGCCTTCTCATCCTGACTACTGACTGGTCCCACAGCTCCCAGTTGACAGCTCCTGGCTTGCTCCAGACTGCTGCTGTATCAGGAGCGAGCCAGCAGTAAATCAGACTGTTTAAGTTGGAGTTAACTCTTTATTAGCAAGAACATGATCTGCACAGACTGGGCAGAGCGTCAGGCCAATGAGCACAGCAGCTCATCCCTGGTAGGTCTTGCTTCATGGATCAGTTGCCAAGACTGAATGTCCCCACCTCTCCAGGGTTTTCCCCAAGCAATCAGAGACTGTGCCTGTGCAAAGCCAATCTCTCCTCTGCCCTTTTCATGCCTCTTCTGGTTCTGGGAGACAGGGTGGGGGGAGGGGAGCTTGTCACAGCAGGAGGGGAAGACACCCATGACTCTTCACCAGCCTGACTTATCTCTGTCTCTTGGCCTGCCTCATCCCACTCTCCTGCTTCAGTTTCTCCTTCTGGACTTCTTTCTGCCACAGACTCTCTTAGCTGACAAAGCCCTGTTACCTCCTTAGCTTCTCACACCTCCCAATCTTCTCCCTCTGACCACTCATCATTGTCCCACCACCATTCCCCAGGCCTTGAGCCTTCTTTCCTTGAGAGTTTCCCAGCTGGTTCCTCCCAACATTCCTCTGCACCCAACCAGTCCATAACATGCTGGTGCAGCAGCTCAGACAAGACAGACATCTAGTGATCTTATCTCATGGAGGGCTTTTGAGCCTCCAACTCATTAGACAGGTCCCAAAGGCTTCCATTTCAAGCTCCCATAATCCCCATTCTAAACCAGCTGCACTGATTGCCAATTCATTTCTGGGCCCAATTTAGGCTGCTCAGATGTAGGGTCAAAAGCCTTAAAGAACTTACACTCAAAATATTGGGAAGGCTACTTCCTGCCCTACATACCCTCTTGAGCATTAAGATTGGCAGAGGGGGCCCTCTTGGTTGTTCCACCAGCATTGGAGGATCAGGGAATGGTAGTTGAGGAGAGGGCATTCTCTGTGGTGGCCCCTAGGCTGTGGAAGTCCCTACCCACAGAGCTGTGTCTTCATTGTATCAGTACCACTGGATGCTGAAGACACACACCTACATCCTGGCTTCTGACATCTGGGACTTATTTTATAGGACCCATCCTATACTTTGGTTGTGAATTCTTTTAACCAATTTTAATGTTGCATTGTTGTAGCCCAGCCTGGGACTTTAAGGCAAAGGCCAGGTAAGAAATCAATCAATATATAATAATTCTATGCATGCCCTTAGCAGCAGTAGGAGTAAATAGTGGGTTGTATTCAGTGAAGCTCTGCTTAGAGTAGACCCATTGACTTATCTTAGTTGCGGCCATTAATTTCACTAGGTTGAGTAGGGCGAGAATTAGATACAACCCTGTGTGTCAAAACAACCCCATGGGATTCTGGGATGTTTGTCACGCTCTCTCTTTTAAGTGGTTCTGTAAGGATCAGGCAGTTCCAAGTACATTGCTGACATCAGCCGATTCACGTTGTCGGGGTCTTTAACTCGGTCTTCAATCAGGTCCTCGAGATGGCCAGATGCATGATGGCATCCCGCGAGCTTAGTCATCGGAATGATGCGCAACCGATTAGCTTAACCAGCAATTTGGCCGATTCAATTTCCATGGATGGTGGTCTGCACAAGCTACAGGAGAACCTCACTTTTTAATAATAAAAAACCCCTACATAATTAAATCAGAAGTGACCCCAATGCCAGTAGAATAAAATCCCCAGCTTCTCTCCGCTTGAATTGCTCAATTCTCCTTCAGCTCATCCTTAAACCACAAGAAGCTGTGGATATAGAATCACAGAACTGTGGGGTTGGAAGGGACCCAAAGGGTCATCCAGCCCAACCCCATGCAAGGCATGATGGCTTCCATTGCTGTTCTTCACTGAAGCACTGCAGCTCCATGGGCAGAGCACCCAACTTTTATGCAGAATCTCCCAGGTTCAATCCCAGGTGTCTCCAGGTAGAATTAGGAATGCCCCCGACTGAAACTCTGGAGAGCTGCAACCAGTCTGTGTTGGTTGGCATCCATCTGTCTTGGGAGACAGTGAAGGAGTGCACCTTCGGGGGTGAAGTCAAACCATTGCAGAGTTAATGGTTGTGGTTAGAGAGACTGATGAGGGAGAGACATGTTTTGTTGCAGCTGGGGCAGATGAAAGCATCCAGTTGTGCTGCTGCAGATGCACCAGGGCGTTTCTGCGCTCCTCCCGGTGGTCATTCCTTTTCATGTTGCATACATGAATAACCCGCATTTCCCTATTGGTAATTCTTGACCTAGAATAGCTATCAAGAAGTCTTCTGGCTTTTTTAAAAAAAATGTCATTTTAAACATTTTTTTCAATTCATTATCTATCATTTCCCCTTTTTATAGTTCTACATTCCCACCACATATGACATCACATTCTCCAATACCCTTTTGGAGCAGTGAGCCATTGCCGTATCTGCCTTTGCCAATACACTTGTCCAGCTCAGAGTCAATGGAGAAGTTGCTGGTTATGGTGTAGCCCAGGCAGACAAAATTGTCTACCACCTCAAGTGTGTGGTCATCTGATATATGGAGTGCTGGTGATGTCCTGACCAAGGATGTAAACAAAAGGATCAGTCTGCCTAGACCATACTGAGCCAGATGGACCAACAGATTGACTTGGTATAAGGCAGCTCCTCATGTTCCTAATGTGGGATAACCAGCCTCATATAACCAACATGCTTACGTCAAATGAATGCATGAAGGGGTTAAGACCATAGAGTAAAACCACATCCACATAAGGAGAACCTTCTCAACCAGGCCAGTGGGCCATCTAGTCCAGCATTCTCAACCAGAAGCCCAAATGGGAAGAACAGTGGCTCCCCATGTGATGTTTTCTCCCCTTCTGAGCAGGAGAACATGAAGTAGCCACAAGGCCAGTGAGTGGTCAGGACCAAAGAGGAAGTGATGCAATTTTGTGTCAGCTGGTGGCTGGATTGTGATGAGTGGGCATGAGGGGAAGGGGGTTGGAGACTGACTTGGAAGAAGGCATCCCTGATCTGGGGGAGCCGGGGACAGCCAGGAGACGAGAGTCAGAGGCAGGAGGAGCTGCAGGGTTGGAGAGAGAAAAACAGGTGCGGGAGGAGGGAGAGAGAGGTCAGGCTGGTGGAGAGTCAAGGGCTTCCTCACCTTCTCCTCCTGCCCTCACCTCTCCTACTCCACTGTCTCCCAGGACCAGAAGAGGACTGAAGAGGGAGGAGCAGAAGGTTGCATACAGGCAGAGTCATTGCTTGCTTGTGGGCAGCTTCAATAGGAGAGATACATACGCCGAAGTTGGGGGGGCGTGGCCTCTCTGTTGTGGCAACTGCCTCACCTGAGAGATGCAGGACTGGCGGACATACCTTCCCCTTTGTGATGGCCTGGGACTCGGAACCAGAGGAATCTCAGTCTGCACCGGATCCTTTGCCTCAGGCATCATCTGAACCAAGTCTGGGGCCTGATTCTGAAGAGTCCCAGTCTGCACAGGTTCCCCTGCAACAAGCACCAGCTGGGCCGAGTCAGGGGCCTGAGCCTGCCCTGGCTCCAGATGCGGGGATTACCTCGTTGCCTCCAGCTGGGCCATCAATTACAGCTGCTCCACTACCGGCTTGGTCAGGGGAGACTGAGGCAGCCCCTGGGTCTAGTAACCCACTGACGTCTCCCGAGCTGCAGAGACTAGGGACTGAGAGAAGGAGAGACCTGAGTACTCGCAAGAGGAGTGCTCACCTTCGGGCGAAACAGGGAGGTGAGTCGCCGGGGGATCAGGACTGGTCGCTACCCCAATAAAGATAAAAGGCTGTTGGACCCCCCCCCCCCAGGTTGCGGGAGCAACATTGCTGTATGTTAGATCCTGTAGCTGCCTTGGCCCTGTCAGACTGACTCCTAGCAAAACCTTCGGATTCTGGACCGGTCCTGGACGGGTTACCCCCAGGCCCAGCACACCCTAACTTGTAACAACAAAGAGTTAATTCCTTTCTCTGGACATTCCTCGCCTGACACTGCCGTGACATTTCGGATAATATGGTTTGGGGGTTGAAGACGAACTGTGGCAGAAGAGAAACAGGGCTGCGTGCAATGAAATCAGGTCAGGACAGAAAGGGATGCCTTCTTACATCCTTGCCTCCTTGCTAAGAACCTGCGTGGCCTTGAGGACCATTGCCTTGCAAACCGTAGTTTGGGAGCAGTTGCTGTGCTCGGGTCTTGCTTGGGGGGTTCCCAGAGGCTTCTGGGTTGCCCCTGTGGGAAGGAGGGTGCTGGAGTAGGTAGGTCTTTGACCCAGCAGGGCTGTGCTTCTGTTCTTAAAGCAGGAGAGGGGGTGGGTCGTTGCATGTAGATGAGGCATGCTGGACCTTTCTTTAAAAATGAGGGGGGAGGTGAAATCTTCACGCTCAAAATTGCCTGTGCATAGGAGACCGATGGAAGGGGGAGGGGAAAGAAAAAAGCGAAATCCTGCAAAATATCACAAAGGAATCAACATGCAAGGAGGTTGCTCAAAACCCCAAGTTGGTGTGTGTGCATATATATATATATATATATATATATATATATATATATATATGATTTCCCCCTTCCCCCCACCAAGTATTAGAAATCCGGTTGGATTCCACTTATCTGTCCCCTCACTCACAGTTTAGACGCTACACCCGCCGTGATTTCTATTACTACGTTGTGAAGGACATAATTTATTCTGAGGAAGTTGTATTTTTATTCCCAGCAAGCGATGGGCTTCAACCCAATCCTCAGACCTGTGTCAATCTCCGGTGACAGAAAAACTTCAGATACAAAGTTTCCTGAGTGGATCTCTCTCTCCCCCCCTCCTTTCCAACCCCCCCCCCCCATTTCCAGCACAGTTTCTA